GGGATGTTATTTTCACCAGAGACATATCTCAGGTTCTTGTAGAAATCTGACTCTGAAGAGAGGAGGGAAAGGAAGCCAATGGCAGCCCAATCACAGGTAGCAATTATACTACATAGATTTTTTTATATTTATTTTAAGAAAAACAATCTTGCAATCTACTCTCAACACCTCCCCCGTCCTGTTCAGCTGAGACCACAAGCTGACAGAACAGCTTTTGAAACAGCATACGATGTAATCAAAGCACAAGTGAGGGTGGCCAGCACCGGACGGATTTTTCTGTAAAACCCAGGGTGCTCCATATGTGACATTGGAAGTGTCATCTCATGAAGGAAACAAAACTGACATCCTGGCCAAAGGACATGCGACAGGGTTTAGCTCCTGCCAAATGCAGCTAAAGCACCATTTCAGCAATACTACTTGAAAAGTCCCCTTTGCAATTTCACATGCACATTCACCACTCTGTAGGACAGGAAATAATGTCACTTCCAACCCTAAACATGTGTGGTGCTATTCTGAACTGCCTTGTTTTATTCCAGATGTGGCTGCATTTCAGAGAAAAGTTATTCCTGTATAGAGAGCTTATCAAACATGTAGGGTTCCTGAGAAATACCATTATGCATTTCTCTGACACCTTTTCTGGTTTCTGAGGCTGTGAGGTTTCTCTTGAGTTACAGTAAGAACACTGTGTCCAATGCAGACTTCATGCTATCACTGCTACAAGGAAAACAGATTCCTACTGACTTCTTGTATTTCATATCCTCTTCATGCTACAATAAATCCAACTTTCTATAGCCTCCCACCTCCCAGGAGCACATGCAATTGAAAGGGACTTCCATTTAATATCTCAACTGCAGGTTTTCCTCGATGAATTATGAAAATTCAGCAACCGTCTGTTTCAAACTTAAAGCAAACAGAAAAAGCAACCAAAAAAAAAGCATCCATGAACTCCACAGGATTTAATTTCTGGCCTGGATCTAATCTAAGTACAATGAGACGCAGGACAACAAAAAGACTGCAATCAAAATTTCAATTTCCATATTGCAATGACCAGTGCTCGCCGAACCACAGCGAGCCCTGCTCGCCAGCCGCGCTGTCCGGTTCTGCACATGTGCAGATCGCCCGAACCCGGCTCTCCTGGGTTACAATCTACTCACCACAGGCGAGTAGATTGTATAATTTGTTGAGCCCTGGCAATGTCCTAAAAAAGAATGATGTGTTCACAGCAATGTCCATCTCCCCCCATATCCGCTTTCCTTTAACACCTCCCCCA